ACGCACTTAGGGCCCTATTATGTAACTTTTCCGTTAAAAGTTAGCGGTCGTTATAAAGTTTACGGCCGCTTAATTTTCCATTGGTATCCTCTAACTCGGTTGTCCGTTAAACACATAACCTAATTCCATTATAAATATCAGTCAGTAGGGTGGTTAGTAGTTAGGCCTGCTATTGAGAAAGTTTGGACACGGACTCCGCTAAAATATATTTTTTAACGAAACGTCAATAATTACGTATAGGGAATAGCAATGTCGATTTCGATATAACAGACCGTTGAACATGTAATTTCTGAAGAATAATTTCTTAACGAATAGTTTCAGAATAAATCCCTTACACCGTGCAAATATTCACATGTGTGTGCAAATAATATTCAGAGGCTACTGATTACGTAAATAACTATTCACAAGCAGAAGAAGTTAAAGAAATCTTTACAACGGTAAAAACGTAGTAGTATTAGTACGAGTAGCAGTAGTAGCAGTAGTAGTACTATTGTGGGGGACCCGATGTATTCATGTATCCGGCGACCGGGCCGCAAAAAACGTGACAGTATTTTCAAATTATTGATCTTATTGATGTGGCGCACAAGCAAATATTTTTGCCGAAAACACGGCGGGCTTTTTAGCAACATTCTATTAACACAATGTTTGTTCGCTAGTGTTATGTTGATTAAAAATTATGTCTAAATAAAAATGTACCTTTATTACCTTACCATTTTCAAATTGTGATTTGCAATTTGATTTAGAGTTTAAATTAAATTTCAATTTTGTGGCATCGTTGTTACTCATTATCAAGTGAAGTGGAAGTTATTTGTTCGATAAATAGCATCCCTTGATATTGCGGTTGGATCGCAATTTAGGTTATTTTTTTTCTGCTGATTGCTATTTAAAAAATTAATGTATGTATGTTCGACCGATCAAAATGTAAAAACAATGAAATTTCCTATTCCATAATGACTTGCATTCGACACCTTTGCTGTTGATTGCCTTGAATTTTATGTTTTGAATGAGGAAAGGTCGGTATTTAACGTAACCGCTAAAATGACAGTGATCCACACGTGTAACCTGAACCGCAGTTACACTTTGTCAATTTAACCGGTTGTTTTTGGAACTGTCTCATAAACCCGGAAAAGTCGTCGGCACCAGCACAGAACCGATGCCACACCGTCGAGCCATCTATCCAGTTGCAGCAGCTTCAGTAACCATCTGTCAATGGAAAATATGTTTAGTTGCACGTTGCCTTGATGATTGTTGTTGTGCACACCTTTAATGCTTTAGTGCGCTGAGGATTACTGCTTGCCTTTTTATTTCGGTTTTTATAGATTATTGATTGGATGATTGCTGATTTATTTATTTTTTTTATTATTGATTTTTACTAGATTGACAAGTTCACTTTTTTCATTGTTACACAACAACCAGAAAAAAATAAATGACTGACGCCGAACTGGCACGTTCAGAAAT